CGAAACCCTTTTTTTTTGGGCCAAACCCTTTCCCGGAAAGTCACCCTTCCCGGGGGGGAAAGAAAAAGGGGATTTTCCAAAGTTCCAAACCAAAAACCCCCCCCCCCCCCCCACCACAAATGTAGCCCAAAAAATTCTCATTGGACTAACGAATCTGAACAAAATGGTCAATGATTCCTCTTGTAGAGAAATCAACTTGTGTGATAGAAAAAATTAAAAACATCAAAATCATGCTGGCGGAGATGGAATTATCATAGATCGTGAGTAGCGGATTGAATTTCATTCTGCGTTTGTGGGTGGTGGTGGTGTGACGGCGGAACAGAGGTGGTGGTGTTTGATTTGTAAGAAATCAAACTTCCCCTGTTTTGCTGCCCTGAGGAACGCGAAGAAGGTGAGAGCTGGGTTTTTTTTTTTTTGGTTTGGGGGTGTTTCTGACAATTCACACGCAAAAGGGGAGAAAAATTCGCACTAGCAGCGCGTGAGGGACACGATTTGCTACGAGGGGTCTCGATGCCTTGACTTTTGTTACACAGGGGGGCATGTGTGAATTATTTTTTGATAGGGGGGTATTTGACAATTAGAGATTTCACAGGGGTGGTATTTGCAATTAACCCTTATTGCTATAATCTATGTATATTTATTGCTTCTCAAAAAAAAATATATTATGTATATTTATTGAGTATCTTAATATATGTATGTAATTTGCAATAAAACTGACCGCTGAACCATTGCTTTTGAAGGCTTTTCGCGGTGTAAATATTCGAAAAAGATTCGAGAAAATTCGAGTCATCTTCCCCATTCAATCCATTATCGTAGAAATTATCACCTGTTGAAACCACAAAATCTATATCCAACTCATCTCCGATTTTTCCCATCTGATTAATTCAACAACAACAAAAGAAATATGGGATTATTTGTTATATATATAAATATTTAATAAATAAATAAATGAAAAAAAAAGGGAATCTTTAGGGCACCTGAAAAGCAACTTGGGATTGGTTAAAATCACCCCTTCTTCCCCAATCACCGACAACCAAGAACGTTAGGGTTCCGTCACCTTTTGCCGGATGTTCGAATCTTTCCAGCTCTGCTGACGTATGCAACAAACTGACGGCGGCGATCATCACCGTCGTCGTTAGTAAACACACCCATTTAACCATGGTTAATGCGTGTGTGTGTGTGTGTGTTTGTGAGAGAAAATTAACCAGAGACAAACGAACGATGATGTTTTTTTTTTCCTCTTGCCTATCTGTATAATATATATAGGAAGGATTTAATGGATTTAATTTAAGAGCGTGATTAATTTTGAATGTGGATTGTGGATTTTTGGTTGGATAAAAGGGAGAAAGGTAATTAATGATGGATTAATTAGGTTTAATGCAGAATTGAGGTGGTGATTAATAGGTGCGTTGGTATTTGGAGGGAATAAATGCGAATATGCGGATGGCATCTCCAATGGGATTAACGGATATTCTCGGATGTGGGGCCCTTTCTCGTAATCCAATAATAGAAATCTGGTCAGCAGATTCTCTGAATATTCGTATGGGTTATTACAAGTTCTTGTTAACGTATATTGTTTCGTTTCAAATTAATTGTCGTTTTGGGTAATTTTTCTTGGGAGGCTGCTAAATAGTCAGATTCTGGCTGGCCAGAATGCATTTATTTTCTTTTTTAATTTTTTTTTTCCTTTCTTTTATAATATTATACTATTTATGACCTCATTGTTTTGCCTCCAAAATCCCCCCTAATTTCCCTCCTAATTTTCTCTCTTCACATTCTCATCTCTTTATTTTTTTTTCCCGAATGGAAGTAATATATTTATATTATCTTCTATTTATTTATTTCCATAATAGAAAGAATCTATTTATATTATCTTCTATTTCATCTCTTTATTTCTTATTTCTCCTTTTTCCCCTTTATTACCCTTTCCTTTCTTTTTTTTCTTTTATTAATTTATTTACCTTCAAATAAAAATACTTTTCTTTCTCTTATAACTCACCAACTTGATTTAGAGTTGCATGCTCTTCTATCGTTATGATATATTTTAGCTAATTTACCGATAATTTTATATTTTTTTGGGTTATTATTATTATTATTATTATTATTATTATTATTATTATTATTATTATTATTATTATTATTATTATTATTATTATTATTATTATTATTATTATTATTATTATTATTATTATTATTATTATTATATAATCAAAGGGTCGTTCAATTTACTTTGTAGATTCAAAGTATCATTTAATCTATAATTGTATATAATCAATTGAGATATATTGTCAAATTAGATCGATCTACATAATATATAAAATTTATGATACAATAATTTAAAAGCACTAAAAACACTAATTTATTAATTATTGACAATCAAATATAAGTAAATTCCATAACATGATAGCATAATTTAGAAATTATTGGTGTCAATAAAAATTAATTAATAATCAACTGGGACGTATGCCACATTATATCGATTTAATTACATAATTTATATGTCGAATTAACTAAATCTATATAATCAATAATAGGTAATAATAATAATAATAATAATAATAATAATAATAATAATAATAATAATAATAATAATAATAATAATAATAATAATAATAATAATAATAATAATAATAATAATAATATATATATACATCCGTTAAATGTCAACCTTAAAACACTAATTTATTAATTATTCATAATAAAATAGAAACGTGAAGAGATTATAAATAAATTTTACAATATAATAATATGTTTTGTATTTATCTTTATTCATTTTGTGTTTACTATTTCTAGATATCAAACTCGTTAGTCCATTATAATACTTTGTGACTTAATTTTACATGCTATTTTGTTTATTTACCATATAATAATAATTAAAATAAAATAAAATAAGTATAATATACTTATTATTTTTATTTTCTGATTGAACACATGTAATCTACAATACTCCTTTTATAATTTAATAATAATAAATAAATTATTTTTCTTATGATTCATGTTTTCATTAGTAAGTTATCCTGTGCTCATGTTTTTTTAATTATATAAATGCTCTTTTTGAAAATTTTATTTAAGTTAACAAGTAGTAGTATATTCTAGGAGGAAGTGAAAAAGAAAAATAAAATAAAAAGGATGGGGAAATTTGGGATAACCCCCTAGTTTTGAAAATATATTAGACGAGATCCCTGCCTTTTTTCACTCTTTTGATCAAAACCCAAGTTTTTGATCTTAATTTGGTAGACCCCCCTGGACAACTTGAAGTACCAAAATTACCCTTGAAGAATTAATTATTAAATCATAACGTTGCAACTCATCGTTTGTCGTTTTCTCTCCAATTCCCTTCCCCCGGGCAAACCCTAGACCCTCTCTTCTCTCTTCGTCTTCCTCTTCGCTTTTCCTACCGCCGCTCCGCTCCCTATCTTCTTCCACCATCGGCGTTGTCTTCCTCCGCCTTTCACCACCGTCGTCGACGCCCACGCCACCATCAAATCGTCGCGAGTGCTCGAGACTGGATTTGCTGGCCCTAATTGCATCACCAGATCTAACACACCGTGTTTCTCCGACGTAGTTTTGGTGGATTCTGGCTCGAAGAACTCTGATGGTTTGCATTGCATTTTTCATTGATTCGGCCGACCGTGTTGTACTGGTATTCCTATTTCACTTTGTTCATTCTGTTTTTTTTTTTTTTCTAAAAATACAATTTTCCTACAATTCATTATTATACGAATTAAATATTTGGGATTTGGTCATTTTAATATTAATCCAGTTATGGATTGGATGATTGAGTGGTTTTGCCCAAATTTTCTCTTGGTTAATTTTTTCATTTTATTTGTTCGTATTTTCTTCATTTTTGCCACCGTTTGGTTTTCCCCTTTTCAACTTTTTTTTTCTTCTCTTTGGGAATTGAGAATTGATTTAATGTGGTTTTTGATTCAAATGGCAGCAACGAAGGAAGTATGTTGAGCTATTTTACTTTTTATAAAAATGTTATTATTTATAGGTTTATGATTATGAAGATAAGGACAAATTGAGTAAGAGCTTTTAATCTCATAAAGAGGTTCAATTTTGATGGATTGACGACTGAAAATTTCTGATATAAATTAGAGTCGAATAACAACTAATGCTAGACACCTCGTGTATGATTCCGTATATTTTGAATATATATGAAGATTTAACTATAGATAATTATAGTCATATATAGTGACATGTAGTCACATGTAGTAAGATATAGTAATATATAGTGACATGTAGTAACATATGCACACGATTGTGTATTTCCTCAGCATTTGTTGGTTGTGAGTTGATTATAATGTAAATATTTAAATTGAACTTGATTTTCTGTCACAGGTTTGGTGTTTGCACAACTTATATGCACCAAGTTTTTGCCGAGAGGACATGGTGTTCTTCAATTCGAAACAACTCTTTTGCATTCGATAGATCGGAGCTGTTGTCGGGTTGAAATGTGGGATTTGAAGATATAAATCCAAATTACACTATATACGACTATACTCATATTTACTCAAAAATAAGAAAAAGACTATACTCATATAGGTAGTCATATGTAGGTATATATAGTCACATATGGTCATATACATGTAGTCATATGTAGTTATATATAGTCACATATGGTCATATACATGTAGTCATATGTAGTTATATATAGTCACATATGGTCATACATGTATATGTAGTCATATATAGTCACGTATAGTCATATACATGTAGTCATATATAGTCACGTGTAGTCATATACATGTAGTCATATATAGTCATGTGCAGTCATATATAGTCACGTGTAGTCATATACATGTAGTCATATATAGTCATGTGTAGTCATATATAGTCACGTGTAGTAACTCGTAGTAATATATTGTTATATATAAGCTATATAAGTTATGTGTTTTTTCTGATGTACAGTGATGTTGATGATTGTGTTTTTCCAATTTTTTGTTGGGTATTAATTGATTTATAATATCAAGATTAAATTGTGAATTTTTACTTTTGGTGTAGATGAAGTTTTTTTTATATAATCATATGTAATATATATACAAGAGTCATGTCTACTCAATTTCAATACAGTAAATTTATCAAAAAATTGAAACAAAATTAAAAATTAAAAATTTAAAAATTTAAAATTTTTAAAAAAATATTAAAATAAAAAATTTTTAAAAAAATATTAAAATTAAAAATTACAAAAAATTAAGCAATTTTAAAAAATTAAAAAAATAAAAAAAATAAAAAAATAAAAAATACAACAGAGGTATATATAAAAATAATAATAAAATAAACATTTATAATTTTTTATTAAAAAAATCTGACAATGTGATAAATGCAGGTCTGAATGCTAATTGCAGTTGACCATAATGCTGAATGCAGTTAGCAAAAATGCTGAATGCAGTTGAACAAAAATTAGATATAAGGGCACAATAGTACTTTTGCCTCTCCAGGGGATTATCTCAAAGATAGAATTTTAGGGGTGGACCTATCCCTATATATTTTTCAGATTAAGGGTGTATATCAAATGGACCCAAAAAGGAAAGGCAATAAAAGACAAACAAACTAAATATGGAGAGGGAATAAAATATATTTTCCACGTGTCAATTAACTACTGGAATTCTACTTGTGTATTAGCACGGCTGATGGCTCCAATACATACCTGATATATAATATTGGAAATTGTAATTTTATATAGAGAGAGAAAATATTTAAATTCAAATATTAATAGTGGAAGGGCAGGCTAGTAAATGAACATCATGATTTTTTCCAATATTACAAAACTACCATTTTTTGGCTGGCCAGATTCTGGTCATCTATCTTTATCGTTTTTCTTGTTCTATATTATTTCTTGTTCCATATTATTTGTCACTTTAAAATTCCAATAATGTATTAATTACTATTTTCTCAACTATGCCCTTATTAGTTATTACTCTTAATTGCCTCAAAAAAAAAAGTTATTACTCTTAATTAATTGAGATATAATTAATTACATGGGTATTTTAGTCATATTATATGTATTTTCCTAAAATCCACGCATACTTATTAATTTTCTTAATATGTGCGCAACACTCTAAAACGATAATTATTTTGGAACGACGGAGGGAGTATCATATAAAATATATAATTAATAGTTTGCCCATTTATTTATATCATATATCAAGAGTTTTTAAGACTATAAATACAATTACGAAAAGTTCTTTAAAATAGTATTTTTGTTGCAACTTATTTTTCTTATCATAATTTTTTTTGGGAAATTACAGTTTTGCATCCCTCAAGTTTGTACTAAGTTCATATTTGGTCCTCCATGTTTAAAAAAACACATTTGGTCATTCATGTTCCAATAAGTTAACACCTTTAGTCATTTCCGTCAATTTATCGTTAGTCCGTTAGTTAAGTGAGTGATGTGCACACACTTGATCCCGTTAGTTTTAACGGAAAGTTGACGGAAATGACTAAAAGTGTAGAATTTTTAAAACATAAGAGACCAAATGTATTTTTTGTGAACCTAGGGGACCAAATGTGAAATTGGTGCAAACTTGAGGGATGAAAACTGCATTTTTCTCTTTTTCTTTTTTTTTTTCCTTTTCTTTTCATTGAAGTTTGAATTGGAATATTAAATAATAGTATTACGATAATTGTTATTGTATTTGTTTCACGTGAGTTGGTGGATAGGTATACGAGGCGAGGGATACATGACAACTTACGACAAATATTATTTTTGTATATACTAATATGTTTTTATATTAGTTTTATATACTATTCATTATTTTATTATAATAAACATGAAGAAAAAAAATGCTACTAAATGACTCGCTCATGAGTCAACTCAACTCATTCACAAATAACATGCACATTTAATTGATTCAAAATCCAACCATGAGAGTTTTTAATAATCTAATATTGACTAGACTAAAGATTTCATGGAATCTAACAATCTTATTGTTGGATTTTAGGTCCAATGATTATTATATTCAGCTCATCAGTCAAATTCTAAGAACTCTTTAGATTCTCTGATCTTAATTGTAAATTCTCTTCGCTTTGATCCTCACCACTCATTTGAGGTACAGTAGAACCTCGATAAATTAATACCCGATAAATTAATAACCTCGCTTAAATAATAAATTTTCCCGGTCCCGACTCGGGGACAACGTGCTAAATTAATAATTCGCTAAATTTATAAGATAATACACATTCGAAAAATTTAAGAAGCCCCATATAATATATAAATTAATAATGCATAAAAATAATTCTTAAATTACATGGTATAGTTCATATTTTATAGATCAATGAAAGTTTAATACAATGCAATCTAATTGTTGCTTGTTTCTGTTAAAGTTCACATTACCATAAATCTCGTCCCTCACTTTTCTTAACATAGTTAGAACTTTCGGTATAGTTTTGTCATAACTCAACATAAAATCGTTCTATACCATTGCTGCTTTAAGAGCTTCCGTTCGTGAAACGGGCTCTATAATGCATTGACGAATGGTACAATGAATAATATACACGTAATTTTTTTTTAAAAAAGTGTATTTATTGAAAATAATAATAAAAGTAATTTCATAAATTAATAATCTATTAATTAATGTATAAATTAATAATTATTAATTTATCGATAAGTTAATATTTCGCTAAATTAATGAAATTTCGATGGTCCCAACAGTATTAATTTATAGAGGTTTAACTGTATTTAGTCTCCGTCCAGGGGCGGACCCAGGGGGTTTTGGGTGGGGGGCGAAAAAAACGTTTTGGGGTTAAATGGTATAAAATTTTAATTTTGGGGGGGGCTAAAGTGTAAAAATTAATACATAAATAAGCCAAAATATTAAAAAAATTAAAAAAAAAAAAGGTAAAAAAATTTTTTTCTTGCCCCCCAACAGAAGCCTTGGGTCCGCCCCTGTCTCCGTCTCTCTCCCAACCCCTAATTTATAATTTTTGATTTATTCTCTCTCTTCTGGTCATACCACTGCACCGAATACACCTTGGCATTTTCAACGACAAACGCGTTTGACTATATGACGATAGTTGTCCGTTTATGTTCTTTACATTAGAGACAAACTTATCTTTTCCATCTATACGGTAATGTGAGAGAGAGATCGAATACACACAATTTGAATCTCTTCTTAGTTTCAATTCTTTATTCTTTGGCGAGCAAATGAGATTAATTAAACGTCTGCGTGAGAAAAACACGAGGGAAAGAGTTCAAATCCGGTCGGGGTTATTTTTGTGCTCGATTATTAATTTAGCTGTTATAGCCTTTTATTTTCCAATCAACGAATAGCTTATTTATTAATATTTCTTGATATACTTACTTTTTTAAATTTGTCATTCGAACAGTCACACTTTCTTTGAAACAATGCAATAATTGGGAGATTCGAAAGCCAATTAATACAAGGCAATTAGTATTCGAAAAGTCACGTGGAATATATTCAAATTTGTGTGATAGGAGTAGTATAAAACTTGACACTTGACACACAATTACCTTAATCCCTCCAAACTCAAATTCACATTAGACACTAATTAACCATGAGTTATCTGACAGCAGCAGATGGTAAGTGAACTATTCTCACAAAAAAAAAAAATTTTGATTTCTTTTCATTTTCATAGTATTATATATATATATATATGAGCTGAATTTATTTGAAGCTATTGCTTGTATATCAGAAGTCATCGCCATGGAAACAAGAGACGCGCCACCTGCTCATTTTCTGATCAAGATTGAATCTTTCTCCTTAATGCAAAAAAATGGGATCGATAAATACGAGACACACGAATTTGTTGCGGGAGAATACAAGTGGTACCATATTAGAATTATGTTTCTTTTGCACTCAAAATGCTTAGTTTTCAATTATTATTATTATTATTATTATTATATATATATATATATATATATATATATATATATATATATATATATATATATATATATATATATATATATATATATATATATATGCAAGAAATTCTTGCATTCAACAAGTAATTAATATATTCTTGATCATCAACTTGTACATGCAGGAAACTAATAATTTATCTTAATGAAAAAGATTGCGACTATATCTCTGTACATTTGAGTATGTCGGACTCGAATTCTTTACCGCCAAATTGGGAGGTTAATGCTGTCTTCAATATGTTTCTCCTTAATCAGATATCTGGCAATTATCATTATTCAGGTATTATTGTATTGTTCTTCTATTTATTTTCTTTAACTAAATTATTTTTAGTTAGATTTAATTCATTTTATAAATGAAAATATATATATATAATTACTTGGAACGCAGTCCGAACAAGACGTTTCCATGGAATGAAGATGGAATGGGGATTTTCCAAATTCATCTCTAAGAAGATTCTCTTGGATCCATCAAATGGATACCTAATGAACGACAACTGTGTGTTTGGTGCCGAGGTTTTCGTCTTGAAAAGAGAAGCGATCACTGAAAATCTGTCTCTCGAGAGCTGCATCGCTCCTTACAAACGTGATTGGAAAATTGCAAACTTCTCCAAATTGGGACACGAATGGAAGTCTAAAGAGTTCAGTGTCGGAGGTCACAAATGGTATTTTTATTTTTTTAATTTCTCGTTACAATTCTGGTCGCACTTTATTTTTTTTCGTTATGATGTGTGTCGGTAAATTTAGGGCGATTTATCTTTACCCCAAAGGATACGAAGAATCAGCTGGCCAACACGTTTCTGTGTTTTTGGGCTTTATTGGCTCCGGGATTTGTACGCCTTCCAAAAAAGTGAATGCGTCTTTCACCATACGCATCAAAAGCCAGATTAATTGTCAACACATTCAACTAATTGGCAAGTTTACGACAACATTATATTACACGGTTTAAAAAAAAAAAAATTTTTTTACTCCGTCGCATGAAACATGATGACATGGTTTTTGTTTTGCAGAAACGCACTGGTTTTCAGGTTCAATCAATGACTGGGGAACGTTCTCGTTCGTTGACCTTGCAACTATTAATGATCCGAAAAAGGGATTTATTGTCAACGACTGTTGTCTTCTAGACATAAAAATGACTGTCAAAGGTGTTGCACAAGTATCTCCCCAGTAAATCTGTTGAAAAATTACAGTTCATATGCATTTCTTTAGTACAGTACGGTTTCGATTCGACAGTATGAAAAGTTTTGAGTTTGTTCCTTTCAGTTCCCTTTTGGTACCTCTAATTTATAAAAAGAATCATCGTATCATTTTTATTACAAGAAATCCCTCTGTTATTTAATTATTTTTGAGAAATCCTTTTTGAGATTTTTATTAATATTAATAACAAAAGTATTTTTTATCAATTTAAATATATATAATGCTTGGTGAAAAATTAGTTGAAGCTGTACATCAAGACGCAAGAATCAGTTAATGGAGTGTGAGTTCCTCAACTTCAACTCATAAACAGCCGAAAAATCGTCCCTAAATCTTTTTCAAGACGACATTTAGTCAAAAGGACTAACTCAAAAAACTCGAAACTATTGCCAAGTGAGGTCGAGACAATTAGGTTGCGTTTAAAGATTCCGATCCGTAAAACGGCCATCATCTATTGTCAGTGGATACAAAATTGATCTGAAATTAGTAATTCTTTCAACATCCAACACTACCACAAAATTGTTTTGTCACTACAAACCATTATGTAACAAGAAGAGTACATCGAAATACAATAAAAAAAAGTACAAAATAGAGTACCTTATAAGAAAATCAAATCTCCCCACGATAACCCCCATTACCGAAATAATCCCTTCTCGAACTAGCAATCTGCTGGCTCTTCTGATGCTCCAGTTTCGGACAATCCCTAATCCTATGCCCAAGCCCACCACAATAAGCACAACCCTTCACCCCACTCGCATTCGCCACCGCCTCAGCCTCCTCCATCGGATCGTCCAGCTCAGCCAACACTGGCGGTATCCTCTGCTTCGCCTCCTGCAGCAAATGCTTCAAATCCAGCAAAGTCGTCTCGCTCTGATTCTTATTAATAAATGTAGTTGCGATCCCTGTTTTCCCGCACCTACCAGTCCGCCCAATCCTATGCACGTAGTTCTCAATCTCAGCAGGCATATCGTAGTTTACCACGTGCTGTATGTCCGGGAAATCCAGCCCCTTCGACGCCACGTCAGTAGCCACTAAAACATCCTTTTTTCCAGCTTTGAAGGATGCGATTGCATACTCTCTCTCTTCTTGATCTTTGCCACCGTGGACTGCCACCGCTTCGACACCCTTCAGAAGGAGGTACTCGTGGATGTCGTCCACGTCAGCTTTGTTCTCGCAGAAGACTAGGACAGGTGGCGGAGTTTTTTGGAGGCACTCTAAGAGGTAGACTATCTTGGCTTCTTGCTTGACGTACTCGACTTCTTGGATGACATCGAGATTGGCGGCACCTGCGCGGCCCACGTTGACTGTGACGGGTTTGACCAGTGCGCTCCGGGCAAAGTTTTGGATCTTTGTGGGCATGGTGGCGGAGAAGAGGAGTGTTTGTCTTTGGGCTTTGAAGTGGTCGAATACTTCTCTTATGTCGTCTTCGAAGCCTAGATCCACCAATCGATCTGCTTCGTCTAATGTCAGATATCTGAAAGAGAAAGGCCGGTTTTAGTATGAACATTTTGTATGCATATATTAATCCATATAAGAAAAAATAAGAAAGCATATGTACATACTGTGACATTTTCTCTGCTTTCGTACCTGTGACAAATAAGAAAGTATGTGTATATATATACTGTATTTGATTTTAGAATACAGGCATCTATACTAAGACAAATAAGAAAGGATGTGCATTTGGTTTTAGAATACAGCTGAATTCCAAATATTAGTTTCACAAGATGCAGAAACAAGCTGGAGAGTACTAAAGGGGAACAGAAATATCACTTACAGCAACCGAACAATAATCTAGACAGTGAGCGGCTTAGTTTCAGGGGAAAAAAATCAATCCTTTAGCATTCAATCTTTTAAGCCAAGTACAAGTAATTAAAATGCACCAAGTGACAAAAAGAAAAAAATACCAGTCTCAGCAAATATAAATTTCATTGCAGTTCAAAGACCAACGGAGATATTATAAAACAAAGGAACAGAAAAGGGAGTAGTGTCAATCATTACCTGCAATTATCGAGGCTCATTTTCTTCTTTGCAAGCATATCCTTAAGCCTCCCAGGGGTGGCAACCACAATATGAACTCCTCTTTTCACCACATCAAGCTGTGACTTCATATCAACACCTCCAATACAAAGCAAAGGCCTCAGCTCCGGATAACCAGCTTCCCTCATCGGTAGAAGAAACTCCTCAACAACCTCGTACGTTTGTCTAGCAAGCTCTCTCGAAGGGCAAACAATCAGCCCAAACGGACCCTCACCGGGCCCTAATGGCATCATCATCTCCTCTTGCATCGCAATCATAATAAGTGGCAACACAAAGACTAGGGTTTTTCCGGACCCCGTAAAAGCAATACCAATCATATCACGTCCAGACAAAATAACGGGCAACCCCTGCACTTGGATGGGTGTCGGCTGAACAATCCCTTTACCCTTTAGCTTCTTCAAAACGGGATCGGGAAATCTCATGTCTTTGAAATTCTTGATCGGTGGGGGAATATCCTCTCCGTCGACAATAATATGCCACTGCTTTCGAAGGGCGTCGCAAGCCCTATTGGACATTCTTCGAATTGGCAATGGGGGTTTCCACCCCGTCAGAAGAGGCTCCGTGTAGGTGATGCCCTTAGCCAGCTCTCGAACCGACATGAGAGATTTTTTATCGGATAAATTTTCAATCATTTCTTTTTCTTGCATTACGATTTGCTCGGTTTGAGTGATTTCGGGCTGCTCTTTCTTTAGTTGGAAAGCTTTGACTAGCAGAGTTGGTTTGGCCTCCACGACTTTCTGCACTTCGGTCTCCTCTTCGGCGACAGTTGTCTTCCCCTTGCGCTGGAGAATCTTCTGCGCTTCAAGGGCACGGCGCTTGGCCACAGGGATATACTCGACATAATCGTCTTCTTCCGCTTCTATCAAATCCTGCAAATTTGAGCCCTAAAAAAGTTCAGAAGTGTGCATAAAATTGGGCATTGCAACCAACAGGGCATGCTTTTCTATACACCAATTTTAATACGAGAAGTCGGGGAAAAATCGAGGTTCAATATCAGCAATAGACATGAAAAAGCTCGGAAATCCAAGTAATAGGGTATAAATTGGTAATGAAGAAATTATGGATTACAGGTATGTGAAGTACAAAATCAAAACCATTTCATGAAAGAAAATTAACGGGCAAAGGAAAGAAACACGCAAATGACGAAAACAATTCGAAATTTCTCAAAAACCTAGATTAGAGAAAAGCCCCAATTTTGTAATAAACAAAGGGGGGAAATATTCAGAAGTATTCATACCATGTTTAATGGATATTCCGACGCAAAAGGATAAGCTAACAGCCGGTGGATAATCTGATGGGTAGAAAAGCTTAAGTTCAGGGATCTTCTTCACAAAGTCCTGAACAATCTCACCGTCTTCTTCACAAAATCCGTCTTGTTTCTGATGGATGGACGGGCGGCGAGGTGATGGGAATTTAACGGCGGTTTGATGACGGCGGCGAAAGGCGGTGTTGGACGACGTTCTTCAATCTCTGTGCTTCCCTTTCTTTTTTATTCGTTGAAGGTGGAGAGTGTGCTGAGCAAAATACTGAATTTGCCCGTTTTCTGTTTTGGGGTTTCTTTTTTGTGTGTGAACTGTGAAGTAAGAAAATAGAGTAAACTGCAAAAAGTACCCCTGTGTAATTTCAAACTAGCAAAAACCCCCCTATGATAAATAAACTAGCAAAAACCCCCCTATGAAATTTTGTTAAATGCAAAAACCCCCCTAGTGCATTTTCGTGTTGCACACTCGCCGAGTGTGAAGCTGGTGAAGATTTTTTAGACCTGAAATTACATAATTACCCCCAAATTTTATTAATATGTAATTTCATGATTTTTAGGGTTACACAAACCTTAATCTCCATCTTCCCAACTTCAATTCAACCGGCCTCCTCCCACCACCGCAGCACAGCCTCCACCGTCGGCTGCTCCGCTGTGCTGCTCTACAATAGACGCCGCGCGAAGTCCAGGATCGAGCACTTCGTGAGGACGAACAAAGGCGCTGACGATCGGAGGAGCTTCCGGACTCTGATCTAGAAGCCCTCTTCGGCGGCGGCGGCGGCAATTGGAGCCTAGCGGAGCCCTACAACCCCGATTACAAACTGGCGTTCGAGCCTTTGTTCACCACATATCACATATGCGTTCGTGTTCAACGGATTTTGTGGATTTTTTTTTTATTTTCTTTTTTGGTGTTGTTGCTAGGTTTGAAGAAACAAAACTAGCTTCTTTCCCATTGTTTTTAATTTTTGTTTTGTTTGGTTTTGGATCTTGACAAAAAAAATAGATAGAATTTTCTAGTTTGTTTTTGCTGGTTGGGATTCAATAATTAAGTGGGAAGACGATGGAGATGGCATCGGGATTCAAATCGTTGAAGATGATGATGATTCGATTTTTTTTTTTTTTTTTTTTTTTTTTTTGATTTTCTTGACTTTTTCTGATTATTAAAAATTTAGTATACAAATTAAATGGAAATATTATATTAAAAAAAAAAAAAAATTCATCAATAAACATATAAATAATATTGTAATTTTTTTTTCTTTAACATAATTTAGTGTATGAATAATTTAAAAGTTATAAAGAAATTATATTATAATTTTAAAAATAAAAAAACCCCTTTCCATTTTTTTAATTAAAAGATATAACAAAAATAAAATTAGTTTTTATCAGTATAAAAAAATAAAATAGTTAGAACATTAGAAAGTAAGAATTTAAATATCTCATTTAAATATTTTACTTCAAATAAAAAAAAAAGAATTTAAATATCTCATTTGTGCTTTTTTAATACTATAAAAATAGACATTTCACAGGGGTTTTTTTGTCTATTTACACAAGGTCAGCCCTTAAATTGATAGTGGGTCAAGTGTGCTATTTAAAAAAAAACACAGGGGGGTTTTTGCTAATTTATTTGTCACAGGGGGGTTTTTGCTATTTTGAGATTACACAGGGGTACCTTTTGCAGTTTACTCTAAGAAAATAATAAAATTTTGGGTAAACTACAACCGCCACTTAGGTATGGTTAAATTATGAAAATACCCTTCTGTTTGGGTAATTACAATTACCTCTGAACTATAAATATTCTTACACGTCCACTCCTGCGGTTTCAAATTTAGTTGAATCTTTTAGATTATGTGGAATATTCTCAAATTTGGACCCGTTTTATCTCATTCGAGCTCCAGATCTTGAAGTTAAATAATCATAAGATGCGTTTTTTGGCTTGTATATATTAGATTGTGGTGCAACAGAAACTGTATTTTTGCACAAAACGAGTACAAACTAGAGAAATTTCACATAATCTAGATGATTATGTTGAATTTGACACGATAAGGGTAGAGATGTAAAAAGATTCATAGTTGAGGGATATATGTAATTATCCAAACATGAGAGTTTTTTCATAATTTAACCATACCTCAGGGAAGGTTGTAATTTACCTTCTGTTGAAAATGGTGTTGGATAGACGGGTGAATTGCATTTTCCACCCTAGAATAGCACCAATCGCCGCTTTGCACCCTGTAATTTAAAAGTTGGCAAAGTCCACCCCTAAAATAATGTATATCTCATGTCAAAATGCACCCTATATCAATTTCATGTGAGATATTAATAAAAACAAACTCAATATATCATGATATTTGAGATTTTGATTTTTTCTTTCTTGCTGTCATTTATTTTTCATTAACTTATATTTTGAAATATTTTATTATAATAAAATAAAATGTAAGAGAATTTTTTATAGTTTCTTTCATTAGCAGTCAAAATTATTTTTAAAATTCTTATTTCATCCAATTTTATAAAAAGTTCTAAAATTTTCAATACTTTACATATTTATTTCGAAAAAATAAAATAAAAAATGTAATCTGGAAATGAGTAGTTGATAGAAATTAGATCGATTGAATAATATAATTAGGATTTCAAGTTTTTTTCTTTTTAAAGTGTAAGACGATATTTAATTTTGATTTCAAAAATTTCAAAATCTGAATATTAATTCCAATTTTAAAAATTATTTTCAAAAATTATTTCAATTTTTTTAAGTTTCAATTTGTTTTGAAAAAAAAAAAGTAAGTAAACACATAACACACAATACAAATACATAATAATTTGATTTTTTTTAATGCGATTATTTTATTATCTTTCAAAATTGAAAGGAAAAAATAATATTATGTAGTTTACATATAATTTCAAGTTCAACTCGGCTAACAAAGTAAAATCATAAGTTATTATTTTGTATTTGTTTGTCTAGCTTACAAGCAAAATAATACTTAAAAGTACAAAATAAGAAATAAAAAATACCTTCAAGAATAAAAACCACTTAAAAAGTTAAGATATCGTGATTTATTTGGTTTTTTGGTTAAAATCTCATGAGAACTAGATTTAGGGTGTAATCTGCCATGAGATATTTAATATGAGGGTGGACTTTGCCAATTCTAAAATTTCAGGGTGCAAAATGCGAATCAATGTCATTTTTGGGGTGCAAAACGCAATTCACCCTGGATAGGCTCACCTTTGTTCAAGTCGGTGTAGAGCCCACTTGTTTTATGTTTTTTAATACTATTTTACCTTTTCTCCTCACACAAAATAAAAATAATACTAATTAAAAAAAAAAAGATTATATATAATATAACATCTTAAATAACATGCAACGGAATTGAAATAACAACACATAGTTTTCAAAAAATTATCCACACTTGTGGACTATTGGCAGCCCCTTAGTCGGTGAAATCGGCTATGACTTGAGTGTGGCCGAGTTATGGCCGAAAAATGGTGTCAAGTGAAAAATGGTGTCAAGTGAGTGTTGGCAAAAGACAACATTGGTGATTGAGTGTTGGGCATGCATTACGCTTGTTCGAGAAAACAAGGAACAATACACTTGGTTCGAGTGGAAACAATGATCAAGAGTACTTGACAAACGCACAAGTGAATATCGGCAATACTCGGTGCTAGACACGGGCGTTGCTTGGCAAGCGGCATGAGGAGGTCTCGATGGTGCTCGACGAGTGGCACGAGAGAGTCTCGGCAACATTTGGCACGAGTGTGGCTCGGCAAACAACATGAGAAAGCATCGGCAAGACTTGTGGCTGGCATGGGCATTGCTCAGCAACCAATGCGGACAAGCATGGGCAACAATTAGCAATTAGAACGGACGATGACTTGGGCAAACGGGGTTCGAAGGAAATTGATTATGACTTGACAAGCTGGGGCATGTTGCCAAGACAAGAGGCAGTTCGATGAGCGGGCGTGCTAGCAGTTGTGTGGACAAGAGCTGGCAAACGGTTGACAGGCTAGACGGACGGTTTTGGGCAATGGTAGCTGGGCAATTTGGCTCGGCACATGCACGAAAACGCCCAATTGTGCGTCTTTAAGTTTCTAAGTGGCAGGCCTTTAGGGCGCCACCTGTCCCCTAGCAATTTGGGTTGTAAATTATTTTCCTCCTTGTATATATTAGATTATTAGTGCACCAATCCGACCCATCTAAACATAGAGGGTTCAGATTGTATTGTTGAGCATCTAAGGTCGATTTTCGTGAGTCTCATTTGGTCTTCCTTTGTATATTTGTGGGAAATAATATAAAGGTCGGATTGCACGTAAACGTGCTTGTGCGTGTTTGTTTTCCGCTGCATACTCTGATTATTGCGTTTACTTGTTTGATCAAAGTCCTTGTGAGTTTGTTGGAGGAAGATAATCAAGAGAAAAGTTGACTGATTTTATGTGAAAACCATACTGCACGGAATTCGTAAAAAATGTAGAATTCTTAAGTTACCCATATTTTGGACTAGGTTTAGTTCAAAGAGGAAACTTGTTTTAGTAATGGTCATTTCTTTTAACATAATACCTGCATCAAAAGGTTAGTTGCTATACAAATGAAATTTTCAACAAACATTGAATGTAAAATGCCTATATAATATATCAACCCAAGAATGATAATATCCATCTTTCTCAATCCATAAAAATCATATAAAGGAAATTTTCCTTCTAAAAAACTCTCAAATTAGCAGAAATTAATGGCTGAGAAATGCATAAATTGTATCAATTTTCTACAATTGTTGGTAGTTTGCGTGTCTCTGTCTAAGCAAAGCAACCATTGCTTACGAAGTTTTGGCTGTCGGAAATTGCGAAGAAAGGGAGCTTGCAATCAATCTGTTGTCGCTTGAAAGGTGAGATTTTAATTGTGTCCTTTGTCTGAAAATGAGTTTCTATATATCATATGAATTGGTGACAGAGTATTATTCATACAACAATGATCCAAGCTTATATGTGAGTCAGTTTTAGGTCTAACCACACCTTAATATGAAAATTTATGTGAGGCATTATATGTAGGGTTGGGCATGAGTCGGGTCGGTAATTATCGGTTATTTTATCTATCTGATCCGACCAATCAATTTTGCTGAATATGAATCATTACCGGCCCGATTATTATCGATCGGATAATAGTTGACAAATCGACTTTGTTGGATAAACAATGAGTCGGTTGGTTTATATTATCGACCATCTACTTATTATTTTTTTCTTTGACAATAATAAGATGTTTATAAAAGTCTTTTAGAAGATTTTCAAAATGTTGGG